GAACGAGCATGATTGATCTGGAAAAAAATATTTCATATGAACCACATGATTGAATAAGACAGATAAAACTGTAGCAGTGCAGGTAGAAGCATTTCAAATCGTGATATTTGATCGCTGATTTTCTATTCAAAAGAAAAGAGAAAACAACATCAAATCGAATCAGATCAATATTGGGCAAAGTGCTTGGAACCATGTTCGTTTCATTGAACTTTGCCATAAGAATGATTTTCGAAAAAATTTTAATTCGAAAAAGTGATAATCAACTTGTCTATCATAATAGAAAGAGTAATTTGTTTTCTTTTAAACTCTCGACGTCTCCTTTTTTTCTGACCCACAAGAATACAAATCGGCTATGAGTTTCTCGAAAAGAACACGAGAGCGATACGAATGCAAAGTCTATGGCGATAGAATGGTATGATTCACGTTTATCACAAGAACGCAAAATATGGGATGAATCATCCTTTCGATTGAAGGGTATGTACAGGATGATTCACTATTAGAGTTTGTTGACTCATGTTCTTTTGTTCTTCTCGTATCAGAACAGAAAAAATAAGAAGTCGTCCTGATTTTGTTTCTTTCTCTTTCTCTTTATATCGACGCCCAATTTTCTATATAAATTGCCATTCTTCAGTCTTTCTATCACTTCTTACTTTGAACTAGTCGACGACGTGCCACATTTTGTACATGGTAAAAACATGCTTCTGAATCATTTTTTTTTCTTTGATTAATCTAACAGCAAACTAAATCGATTATCAACGTATTCTTAACAATACATTTTGTGTGTAAAACTACGAGTTATTCAGAAAAGAAAAATATTGATTCGAGTCATTTTATTGTCGAAAGAAAACGTGTTATTTCGTCTTTCTTTTAGTAATCGTCATGACTCATGGGTGTGTGAAATTGCGTAATCTTATTCATTAATTTTGGAATTTTCTTTATTTCGTCACTTTTCGAGTCTCTTTTTTATTTCTAGTCATTCTCATCCGTCCGAGACCGATCGATCAGAATGAAAAGCAAACTTCCAGTCCGGCGTACGGCCGTGCATTGTTCTTTCGTGATATTAGTGGTCTGGTTATGTCGTCAAACAACGACTAAAATAGACATATTCGAAGCAAAGCATTATGGTATTGATTTATCGAAGAATGCCGACAGTTATCATTCTTCTGCATCTGTTGATCCAATCAAAGCCAATCTCGGTCGGATATTCTTTCATCGTCTGATCCATGATAATAACTCATTTGAACTTATCAACGAAGAAAACCTGTGTTCATTAATCCATTTCTTTTTTCAACAGGCCACTCTCAACGATCAACCGGTTCAGTTTTCATCAGGTCAGTTGTGAGATGATGAGCAGTTGCTACGGAAAACAACAGTTACATCCTTCACAAGTTATTTTTTCGATCCAAGTATAAACAAGGGGAACTAGCAGTATGATAAAATCATGATATGTTTTACTACAGAATGAAAGTTTTATCAAGAGTCTTAGATTCAGCACTGTAAAAGATTTACTGAGGATTTAATGTGAATCTTTTATTACAAGAAAGATAGAATTTTCTCTTTAAGGTACATTCGTTCTCTATGATTCGACTCGACGACTTTTTCCTCGACTAATGATGGCCAAAAATGTTCAAATCCACAGTGATGAACATCGTTCTGGTTATGTTCTTCGTCTCCAGCATTTTGCCCGCGATGCGATACTATCAATATGGAGAAGTTTCTCAAGTCATCAATACTCAATCCCATTGCCTTTTATTTATTTACGCGGCGACGAATCGTCCCATTTTCATGAACGTGGTACCAAATACGAACGGTGGCATGATTATCCGGCCTAGTAAGTATCGGAATCTCTCAATTTACTAACTCTTACATCGATTCGCATCTTTTTTAGTGGCGCAGACATTCGGCATGGCTGTTTACCAAATAATTTTCGTCATATCTTATTCGGTAAATTGAAAAGTTTGTCCAACTCAATTCATTCTCAATATCAAGGGGATCGGATCTACATTAAACCCGAACAATATGGATTGCAACGATTTCCACATTATATTGCACGTAAGTGTGTTGATTTCTTTCGATAACATTGATCTATCAGTTTGATATTCAGATGCTGGTCATTATCTCCGATCGGTATCACATATGTTCCTGTGTCGATGGATCGGTCATTGGAATACAAAATTATGTGTACGGGATGGCGTTTTTCACGAGTGGACGGATCGCATCTGGATTAAAGAGTGGGAAAACATATTGATCACTTTGACTCAAGCCGAATGGCGTCAAATGCTTGATCAATCTTTATCGAACGGTATTCAAGAGATTTATCGACAGACGCTTAAATTTTCATCTTGGCCACATGTTGAAAAGTTTCGCACAAAACTCGAACATTACTACGGCTCGGATGTCTCTGCACGTAAAGGCAACGAGATCATTCTAACAACGGAACGACTATTAAACATTGAAGTTACATGCGATTCATCTACGGACAATACCAATCCACTGCTGTGAAAATCCAATCTTCGATCAAGCATCAAACCAATGTTCGAAGTTCCACAATCGTTGCGCATAAGCTACTCGATGGAACATCGGTAATGCCCTGCCGTTTTAGTTAGTGAAAGAAACATACTGTGCATTAGTTTTTCGTCAACAGTGCAATGTCTGATACATATCTCGGTGCATTTTCTCAAAATAACCTTTCTCTTCAGATTTCAAATTGTTTGTTTTTATGATCATTTACGGAATAAAAAAAATCCTTTGTTGAAATGAAAGAAAAAAAATAATGCAACACAATACCAATTAAAGGTCAATTTATAGACGCACATATTCGAAATCACATTTCGCTTAGTGGTGTAAATGTTGATATGTTAAAAAGAGTCCAGTAGGTTCAAATTTTTTGAATCTAGTTGATTAAAGTTTTTCGGATTCGTAAGCGAACCTTACTCCGAATTTAAAGAAATTTTTCAATCAAAATTTGATAGTCGTTGCCAAGATGCAAAAATACACTTTATCGTTTATTAGTTTTTTATGACTAATGCACTATATACATTTCTCAGGCAACATTGATGAAAATATTTTAATAATTAAATCATAATTGGCTTGAGATTTCAGAGTATGACCTAACTATAAATGATCTGTCATTTGCATTTTTAATTTAAGTGTTAATAAAGTAGAGTATTGATGAAGGCTAAAAAGAATCTATAGAATGCACTGTTTTAAGATTGATGGTTATTAGAAAACTTCATCGCTTTAATGATGAATTTGAACTGGAATAATTTATAAAAAATACTTTGAATCTCGATATGCGGTGTTAAAACTTTATTATGTGATCATATATTGACTGAAAACAATCAACATTTGTTAGCTCAAATACTGATATGTCAATTGATTACAAAATTTTCATAATTGATATTTATTAATTAAATCGATTAAGATTGAATTTGATTACTAATATCATATTTTTACAACTTACCAATAAACAATATGATCTATTACATAACCACTGCCAATGTTTAACAGTGCACCATATATTTAACTTGAAAGAAAGTCAAAAATATTGGTCTCAAGCAATGGTCGGTCAACCATACTATTATAAAATTTTGCAGAAACTTAAAAGTTTGAAAGATAATCAAATATATTAAATAAAATTTGGAAGACAAAGTTTTTCATAAATAAAACTTCTATAAGTGTTATCTGATTATAAAAATTAAGTTTTACAAGACAAATAAAATCTTCATAGATAATTAACTCATTAGGTCGGTGATAATCTCACTGATTTCATATTTCATATTTTATTTGTCTCTATTGATTCGTTGAGGAAAATTTTACAGGTCGATATATCTCCGTGAAGGAATGCGTGCTTGTTAATGTCTAACGCACTGACGTTTTCAGCAGATCAATCGTTTGCTAATCGAAAAGTACGGAATTCTGGGCTGTCGACAATGCGAATTCTGAATATGACCACTATCAACACCGATGGATTTTTATATGCTGTTTTTCTAGAAAGTCGATTTTCCAGACTGACAAATATTTTGCCATTACCATTTTGGGTCTACTTAGACTATAGAGCACATCGAGTTGTCTAGAAAACAGTAACTTTTTCTATATTCCAAGGATAAGTTTCAAATAAAATTATATCACCTTGAAGATTGTCACATTGAAATGTTGACGTGTATTTGTTGTGGGAATTAAGATGAATGTATTTTCTGAAAAAAACAATTGAAACAGAAGTTTGCTATTTTCTAAGTAGCATCAGATGCTCTATAATCTGGAGAGATTAGAAAAAGATTTTTGACGAAAATTTTTTAAGTTTGTAGTACCGATTCTCTAGAAAAGCAACTTATGAAGACCTAAGAAGATTTCTCATGGTCATATTCGGAATCAGCATAATCGATCACCTGCAATCCGCTAACTTTCGAGGAAAAAGCAGTTCATTAGTTAACAACGCTTCCTCGTGAGATGGAATATAATCATAAACAATTAGGTACTGCATGATCGCCAAAAAGTGATCAATTATGTCTTTGGTTTTCTACTCACTATCGTTTGTTGGTTCTGCTTGTTTTTTGTTCCTTGTAGTACTTATATCAATCTGATGAAAACGAAATAATCCTGTATAGTGTGGACAAAATGAAAAAGAATCAGATGTGCAAATTTAGGATAAAGTTGCCGATGTCTTTTTATCAAGAGAAAAGAAACTCATAAAATTTGATGCGTTACTTAAACTAGCAAGTTCTTTCCAATCTTTTTTATTATTGTTAAAAATAAACTCATGATTACCATTATTCTTAGTTACACACACCACAAGACGACTTTCTTATCTTGGTTATCATAGAGAACAGACGAAAAAAATAAGATTCTTCACAATTTTCGAAAACAACTCATACACTTTATCTCGAACCTGTAAGTATTAGACTTTTGAAAAAAAAATATATTCATGTTCGACATCTTTCAGATAAAATTTATTTATATTAATTATTAACTTCTTATATTTTTCTAAACGTTGAGCAAGAATGGTATTTGAAAAGTTCGTTGTCCATCTATTGGATAAATATTTAAGTGATTATATTGAAAATTTGGATTATAAAAAGCTTAAAGTTGATATATGGAGTGGTATGTATTATCTTATTTACTATAAACAAAATTTTTTCTACGAGTTATTTCTAGGCAATGTTATGCTAGAAAATCTTTATCTAAAACCAAATGCTCTTGTGAATTTTTTTCTTTATATTAAAATTAAATATTTTATATTTATATAAATCTTAGGCTGATCTTAATCTTCCAGTAACTATAACTATTGGATATCTTAGTAAGACTTATATATTTGAAATGTTTTGTTTTAGCTCTGATTTCATTTTAGAAAAACTTAGACTTCAAATTCCATGGAAAAACTTGTATACACATCCAACAAAACTTACTATCGATGGACTCTATGTACATGTTATACCCAAAATCGGTTTGTTCTTTGTCGTTTTCATTATTATCATTCGCTACATTTATTAATAGAAGTTGAATACAATGCTAAACAAGATGAAAAAGAACAATATGAAGCTAAAATGAAAGAAGTTGAAAAAATCGAAAATCTTCGTAAAGAAAAAGAAGCTCTTAGTAAATTTAGAAACCAAGATTCAATCATATAATTTCATTTTTCTTTTCAAGAGAATATAAAGAAGATTGAAAAAGATAATGATACATTTGGTGCACGAATGAAATTACAAATTATTCAAAATCTTGAATTATCAATTCAAAATATTCATATTGTTTATGAAGATAAAACAACAAAACCTAATCATCCATTTGCATTTGGTATTACACTTAATTACATCACATTTCAAGTAAAAACGAGATTTCAAAAGAAAAAGGGCTTGAATATCTGATTTTACTTATTGCTTATTTTTAGACAACTAATAAAGAATGGATACCAACAATAATCAAAGAGAATAGCCCAACTATTTACAAAGTATGATTAAGGATTGTCAGATGTTCACCAATAGAACTTTCACCAATACGAATGTCTTTTGATCATACAGATTTGTAACAATCACACTAATAGATAATGTTCGCCTAGGTCGTAGTCAGATACTCATTGTAATCAAACAACATCAATGGTAACATTTACTATCATCGGTTTCAGAATAAGATGCTGATGACTGTTTCTTGAATAAATTTTCATAGAAACAACTAAGACAGCTGGGCTTTTCATTCTTTACGAGACAGCGCCCGAAAACATTGAAGTAAGCCAAAATCCGATTGGTCAGTAATTGATCACTCAAGTGAGTTCTTAACGAAGATTTTGACATGTAAAAAAACCAATCGGTATAAAAAAATCCTCTTGTTCTATCTATCGAAATCTCAATTTCGTAGTCGCTTCTGTTCAAGAGTTGCAAGGATTTTTCTGAGACCCATCGGGTTCAGCATATTGACACTGGAAGACTCCAAAACAGGTCTAGATAGAGGCAATCTATTACATTGAGTCGAATGATGGTGTTTGTTTTCAGTTTCAAAATGATCTGAGACTACTATTGGAACATTTTCAAAACTGCGATTATTATGCAGTACAGAAGCAATTTTTGAAATTTGATAAATACTGAAAGGAAGGTCTCAGCTCGCTTTGAACCTGAAATCAAACATCACCATTCAACTCAGCATGATGAATTAACTGTGTAGAGCTCTTTTGGAGTCTTCCAGTGTCAATATGCTGAAACCGTGGGTCGCAGAAAAATCATTGCAACTCTTGAATAGAAGCGACTATGAAATTAGGGTTTAGATAGATCGAACAAGAAGGCATTTCTCTATCGATTGGTCATATTACATGTCGAAATCTTCGCTAAGAAACCACATGATTGGTCAATTGCTGACTAATCAGATTGTGACTTACTTGGATACTTCCGAGTGCTCTCTCTTGAATAATGAAAAGCTCAACTCTCTGCGTTGTTCCTACGAAAGTTTATTAAGAAAATAATCGTCGACATCGTTTTTCTAAGTCGATAATAGTATATGTAAAAGAACTTCCAAGTATCAGTCAAAAAAAGCAAACATAACAATAACTTAAAGACACAACTACCTACAGCTCGTATTGGAACTTAAATATTTCCTACCTTTGAACAATAATTATTACTTTTATAGATTGAATCTTTATTTGAAGCTAAGAGTCACAATCATTATGAAGATAAAAACTTGCAGAGAAACACTGACATCTCAATTGAAATTTGATTTGCTGATCAGTAACTGATATCAACACGAGTAGTTGATCATCAAAAAGTTGAGAAAGTACTCAAGAAAATTTTGACCACCAAGAAACATCTTTTACTATGTGGAATCCTATTAACAGTCTAACAGAAACTGTAGACAAATCATGAGAAAAAGAGTTTTCACTAATTTTACGTACTTCAATTTTTTCTTTACCTGCAGCGTGACCATGAACGGTACTCACTTTGATAAATTTAAAATTCATGGTGTGCACTTTCAATACTTGATATTTGTTGTTTTTTTTATTCTATTGAAAAGTCTAATAATATACTAAGAGTACGTTGTTGTGAATCATTAAATGAAATACATAACTGACGATGATGACTGACCTATAACCGAGAGCAATTGCATTCACAATGATAAACTTTTAATCGTACACTAGTTAGTTTTCGGACTATTTTAGTTAATCTCTCTCAGGTATTATTCATCACTGATACTACCAAATACAGATAAAAGCCAATAAAATATTGAGAAAAGCAATAATAAAATATAGATGTTTAAAGTCACCGTTTACTAGATGCATCACTCTTTTTTTGTACTTTTTAATTTCGACACATTTCCTTTCGGCTTGTTTAGATCGCAGCTTGTCAAGAAACCAAAATAAAATAACCTAGGCTAAGAAATATAAGTCATTTCTTTCCAGAAAGCTCGGGAAGGTTGTAGGAAATTGAAATTAAGAATTCATTACTCGGATCCGATGGCCGAATTCTTTTTAGAGCCTGTCTGAGCTGACCATCGGATCCGATCACCAAATGCCGGCTTTCAATTCCATACAGTTTTCCAGCAGGAACCTCCTTAAATTTTAGAAATCCAAGCGCCAGAATCGTTTACTGCGGAACTCTATAGCGAACAATGGAAAAATCAGCATCACACCATTCTTGAGGATGTGTAAGAGCTATGATAAAGAGAAGACTCTCAAAACTTGGCATATTTATATCCATCTTCACCGCATCCCCCACATACCCACACCATTTATAGAGATATTTTACAGCCTAGAAGCTAACTCGATTAGATCCGAACACACATCGAATGAGAGCAACAAGATACATTTCAATAAGATTAAGCATTGTTCTCACACGTATGCTGCATGCATATTTTTCTCTGATGATTGGGGAAAGTCCTATCGGCGAAGAGCAGGGGCTGCATTTTTCAAAAATAAACAGATAAAAACTTTTTTGGGGTTTCTAGATCGGCGAATTAAATGCTTTATCAATCTATTGGAATACAAATATTGAATCAAATTCAAATTTACCAAGAAATGCAATCATTGTAGGTTAATTGATTTCATTTTTGCAAAATCTATTTTCAATTTAGAAAAATTTACAAACAAAAATTGCTGTTGATAATAATGATCAAGCCTCAAAAGATATGGCATATAGTGAGTATATGAATTGTATACTTGATTTCTCTATTGAATATATAATTGTTGTTTTCAGTCTTCCAGCCATTCAATGTTAAAACTAAATTGATCATAACAATGAAACCTCGTCAACAAAACTTCGAAAGATCTATGTTTTATATAACCATTGATTTAGGACATATTAGTTTAACTTTAAATCGTGCTCAGGTTGATTCAATAGAAAATGGAGAAGAAAAATATTTGTTTTTTTTTGTTTTATGATTTAGTATTTGGATATACTCGATTTACTTGAATTTCAAGATCATTTTACTGCAAAATTGAAATATATTAAATATCGACCAAAGAAATTCGATAAAACAATACAAAAGTATCACAATTGAATATTGTGTGAATACTTGAAAAATAATATTTGATTAATTTAGATGGATTTTTGCATATAATGCAATTGTGGAGGAGAAAATTAAACCTCGTTTAGAATGTTATAAATGGGAAAATATAAAAAAACATTTGGAACGTTGTCGCGAATATCGTTATATTTATGTACAAGAACTTACAGGAAAAATAACTAATGAACAAAAACAACTTGCTGAAGTAAGAGGAATAATCTTGTTTGTTCCTTTTTTTTATTTTGGTTATCAGGAATAATATGTCAAAAATTTTAGGAATTAGAAAAAAGACTTGATGTATTCAATTTAACATATATTCGTCAACATGCTCAGCTTGAAGTTTGTCTTCTTTTATTTAATACCTATCTAGTTTGCACAAAAACGATCTTTTCTTCAGGCAAGAAAGAAAAAACAACAAGAGCCAAAAACATTGCTGAAAAACTTTTCCAATTGGTGGAAGAAAAAATCAAGTCAAACTGATCCAGGTTAGAAATCTACCAAATCGAACTAATATCGGTTGACATTTTTCATATTAAAATGAGTCATAAACATGTAATACAAAGATACGGAACTCTTTAGTTTATTTGCTTGCTTATCAGCTAGTTACCATATTCGTAAAAGTTGATCATATTTAACTTTGATGAGACATAATAAGATCTTTATCTGTTGAAAAAGTTAGCTTCGATCAAAATTTGTATAAAATACTTCTCACGAAGAAACATTCTCATTACTGTCTAATGAGACTGTTGCCAATCGATCGTTCATTATGAATAGTGAAGCAGTGTGTGTTGACTTGGTTTTCCAGCCTTTGGTTGTCGAATTACATATGTTTTACTTGGTTTTTGTCCTTTAAGTAAAGACGATCTGAAATTTTGTTCACAGATAAGCCTTGTAACTACTAAAAACACTGAAAAGTGTGAGCGAGCACGACGTTGTTCTTGCTAAGATATTTACATTTTAAGGAAACGTCTGTTTTGGGCTATGTTCCAAATGAAGGACATTTCTATGACATGTTTATATCTTGACACGGACATATTTGTCATAGTTCAAATTTTGGAATGCTTTTAGTGACCATAGTCCTATCTTTGATCAATGTTTCAGCTCGGAACTCGATCATACAGGTTCACAACGATTCTATGCTCACAGGACAAATATCAAATAACGCACTCATACCTCGACGAGGAAACACCAAGAATTTAAACATACTTTTTTTGCTATTCATTATGATCGACCGAATGACGATAACTTCAAGCGACTGGATAGTCGGGTATGTTCCCACGTCAACTGATTGAATAGGTTGGCAAAGATTCAGTTGTAAAAATGTCAAATTTTTCAAACCAAAGTCCTCATCTAGATCCTAATACGAACATAATATATTTCAGTACATGAATACGATGTAATAGAGAAATAAGATCAACATGCATAGGCATATAGTTACAATCGAAGTGAATATTATGATCTTATGCTTCGATAGCTTTTTAAATTTAAAGCACATTTCAATGATAGTAACGAGAAATAGTTTATTTGAAATGAGGTATGATAATAATTGTTTCACGATATTCTGTGGAATCATGGTACAGATATAATTAGTTTCATTTGAAAATGAAGCGGGCAATTTCTGTTATAATCTGCTTTTTCGTAGAACTTGACCTAGAAAAAGTGTTGTCAGCTGAAGAAAAGAAAAAATTATACGAAACTATCGGCTATGAAGGTGAAGATACATCAACATTGACTTATCCCAAAGATGTAAGTGTTAATTTATTAATTTTCCTGTATAATCATATCAAATTCATAATATAGTATGTCGATATTGACCTTTCAATTCGATTGACTATGCTCAATTTAAATATTCGGTCAAAAATCAATGAAAATGATCAAGAGTTTGTTTAATAAATGAATTATGTTTTCAAAAGATTATTCTATCCCAATTTCAGATTTAGACTTATTAGTCATGCTGCTCTACCTGATACACAAATAATATTTAAACGACGTCCAGCAACATCTTCTGCTTTGTAAATCATTATATTATTAAATATCGTACTTTTTAAAAACTATGTATTTTTGTTTGTAGATTTCTCGCTAGTTTAGGTTCATTTGACGTATTCGGTATTGCTACCGATTTGAAACAATCAGAATCATCAAATAATAGTCATCCCGTTCTTATTCATTCAATTATTCAACCAAGATCATCAAATAACCAATTAGAGAATCCAAAATTATTAGAAGTCGAATTTGAAATTAATCCATTAGATCGAGACTCAGGTTATCGTATGAAAGTCATATCACAGTCGCTTGAAATAAAATACCATGCGGTAAATATTGAGAATCTTTTATAGAATGCCAAATCATAACTAAACATATTTCTGTCATTCTAGCCTACTATCAATAAAATTATGGAATTTTTTGAACAGGATACTCGATACAATCTACGAAGGTAAAATTCAAAATGAAATTTTTGTCTTTTTTTTCAAATTGTTATCTATTTATAGAGTTAAACAAGTCGCTTACATCACATATACAGATATTAAACATCAATCTATATTATTCATGAAATACAATATAGAAAAAACAAGAGTACTCGATATTCACATTGATATACAATCGTCTTATTTGCTTTTGCCTGAAAATGGTGTCTACTATGAGTAAATTTAGGTTTTTTTTCTATTTCGAATCATTCAGAAATTACGTCATCAATATGGCAGGGGAGAGAGAGAGGGAGGAAAGATAATTGACTATATTATTAGCATACCTAGCAGTCATTAAAAAGAAGGCAAGTAATAATACAGAAAATGGTTTCATTTCCCAGTCGATAGTCTTTAATGTCAATTGAAAACTCGTTTTTTGATAAAGATTTTCCTAGGATATACCAAAAGACTGAATTTTGTGTAAGACTGAAAAGCACGACTAGCAGAATATTTTTACTTCTCAATTCATATAGGTTCTGATCGAACAACCATCATTTCAAGTGTTACATAAAATTATACCCAGAGGGGAACATGACGACATCATCGATGATCGATCGACTTACCCAACTGATGTCAAGAAGTAAAATAGTCGAAATACGTATATGTTTTTATAATAGTTCTTATTGTTTGAAATTACTAGTATAGACAATGGAAACATAAACAGTCGATTACTGAAACAAAGATGATGCTATCAACGAATTGATAAGATATAGATAGGACGTAAATGTGCTCTCTTCATTCTCACTAACCTATAATCCACCCCAAAAAAATGAAAAGATGTTCCTAAGCTAGACATCCATTAAAATTGATTAAGAAATATTACGAAAAGATGAGCTTAAATTGCCTTTCCAAGGCATACATACTTTTATTAAATCGATAATTAATATTGATAGTCATGTGCAAACTTGAAATTTTTAATGAAACAAAAATTAAGATTCAAAATCATCGCACTATAAAACTAGAATGAACGAAAGTAATCTAGAAATGGATTGTGGAACCTCGTCTCATTGAGTTGTTTAATTGAAAACCTCATTCAGCTCAAGAATAAACTGTTTTTGTTAAGTAATTTTTTTCTTTTTTTGTATAGATAAGAAACGATATTGTTTAGAGTGAGCAGAAATACTGATGAAATTCACAGTTACAGATGTTTGAGACAACAAATAGGCATCTTTTCTATAGACATTATCTTATATACATGTTCAATTCAATTTTTTTGATTTAGTAGTTTTTTAACCTACAACAAGTACTAAAGAGCATTATAATTTTATAGTTCCATTCTAGGAATATCATTTTAGTACTAATTTAAAGTTAATTTCACTTGACATACGCATATATTACATATGCTTTATGGAGTTGTTTTAATAGTTGTGCTTTTCAAATTAATTCAAATAATGAAATATCAAGTTTCAAAAGATTATTATTCTAAACAGAAGAAATTACTATATACATAAAATAACATTTTATTATAACAAACCAATTAGTTTGGAGGATATAATTCATCTTATCTTGAGCAACTGGCACACCCACGTCCCAAATTTTAAAAGTATCGACAGGTTTTATTGAAAACCTCATTCAGCTCAAGAATAAACTGTTTTTGTTA